TCCTATTTTTCTGAAATAAAATAAAAAAGTTGACGTAAAAAAATTTCCTAATACAACAAATCGAGCAGGCTCAAAAAATTTTAGCTTTTATTGGGCAATACAAAAAAAATGTCTGAACAATTAAAAATCTATTCTAAGTAGTTGTCCATTCCGGCTTTTAAAATGATCCAGTTTCAGTAAGATGGTCAATTTGTTCTTATTTATTAACAAAATATGAGGTTACTGGGTTACTGGGTTAAATTTCTTAGTTTGTAAGGTTATTAGGTTCGATAGATTTGGCTTAAGTTCTTGGCTTGTTTTCCCATTTATGACGGATGATTCGCAAGTGACGACGTCACTACTGCTCTACAGAGGAGCATAAATATCTACCAGTCCACTTCAAAAACGAACCAGCCATAAAAAATAGCATTATCTTGGGAACCATAGGTCGTAGAGAGGTAAAATATGCGAACCTCTCTCTCACTCTCATGGGCTCAAATGGTATCGTGGTACGCGTTCCGCTCTTCATGTGACCGAGGCCTTAGTCTAATCAAGTTTTAGTTTTGTTCAGATTTTAAGTAACTTGATGTAGAAAGGTAGAAGATATTTTTACCTATATATTTATAACAATACCATACGTAAACCACAAAGCCCTCTTCTAATGTTACCTAAGAGCGCACCAGGTCGAATGGTAACTTAAATCCCTTTTTGTTGTCTAATAGTACTGACTCTAGCACTTTTTAGCATGTCTACACACACGCAAAAAAAAAATTAAACAGTTCAAGCATGAGAATCTATCCTACGCTAGTTTGACTCTCGAGTTACGCATGCAACGCTTGGATTTCAAGTGTATAGTGCATGAGAGGCACCGAGACGAATATAGTATTGTCTGCTATAGCTCCCACACTAGGACACACACGGGAGTAGCGTGTGGAGCGCATGCGCAAAGTGTTTCGTCAGTACTCACGCTGATTTTCTGTAAAAGCCAAGTATACTAAGTGTGAACCTTGTAGTTTGTAAGGTATTTTGATTTTCACTTCTGACGTCATCATGCAAAATGGTGAGGGCTTGGGGACAAAGTTTGAATTCACACAATAAGTTTAATCACGACTATACAATTTATTGAGATATTCCAGTTACTTTATTTGATTACAAAAACTTCTCTTTTTCACGAGCTATCGAATGGGTATCAGATATGCGATAGACCGATTAGATGGTTATAAAGAGTTTTAAAAAATGTTTTCCGCCTTCACTTTTTGCCCGACAACTTTATTTATCGATTTCACTTATTTAAAAAGAAAAAATGCCGCATATCTGATACCCATTCGATAGCTTGCAATGCGATTTGACTTATAACAATTATATTTTACATCAAATAAATGAAAATCACTCTTAACAATACAATACAATATTATGTACAAGAAAATAATTTGCAAAAAGGGAAATTAATTGTTTAATTTATTAGTACTTATTACATGATTTTTATATTCTTTAATTTTGTTTATTGATCCAATAAATAACCATACTCATAAATTTATTTACATTATATATAAATGGGCGATTCTGCTAAAACTTGCTCAGATCGTGTGCGATACTCATACTCATGTGCCGTAATGAAATCCAAAACTTCAAAAACGTCAAATTGTGTTAAATGTTGTCAACTTTACCAGACATATTATCTTATACCAATATATTGATTCCTTAATGGAGATAATCGATTATTTAGAGTCAAATTTTCCATTCCGACCCATGTCCGCAACTCAATTTTACTCATAAAAACTTTCACCGGTAAACAATGAGGCTTATATGCCACTTGAGCGTGTAAGCATTATATACTCTAGCTATTAATGATTAGATTTGTACCTTAGTCACACCGAAAATCGACGAAGACGAGTGAGTTTTCACTGCATACATTTTGTCCGCATATTTGCACCATGATCGCGGTTTTAACAAAAATCAGTTTAAATTATTAACTTTTTGGATAGGAAATGCTACCTAATGGTCACTTTTTAAAGTATAGGACGAAAATGAATAAATCCTTACGACAGTTGTACCTGAAGTTGTTACCTCTCGAATAGCCAAGCTCTTCTTGTTGCATATTTCGCGCGTAAAAACATTTCATTCCGTTCCAACCCCCATGGAACAACCACCTGGTCTGCATGTGCAGGTACGCAAACTACAGTTTCTTATTGCATTTGAGGCTAGTAAATAAATTATGAGTGGACAAGTCATTGTAATACGTCTGAGTCGTACGAGCACTACAAACTTTGAAAATTCCATTCCGAACTTCTCCATTTTTACCCTACCGTACCTCAAAATGCCGTTTTTTTTGTTTTAGAGTAATAAATCCCAGCCAAAATTGGTTTTTTCTCACTGTTGGGCTTAAAGACGAGACATAAGTCTCAGGGTCTCGTCTAATTGGCCCTTTTTCGCTACAAAAATGCAAAAACGGTGGTGCTGCTTCCAACGTTGGTAGCCAAGTGATGCACTCCATTAGGTGGCTTTATCTGGGCTTTAATGAAACAAAAGCATAGTCCTAATGATTAAACCAAAAATCTTTCAACATTATGCCCCGAGTAAAAAGTTGTAGTGATTTTATGAAAAATACTGAATTTTAGCAACAATCACATTATTAGCGATATTTACGCTCTAATTGAAGCTGTAACTTTTGAATGGAGGCACAAAATCGAGGAAAATTTTTTTTTAATTAATAGGTCTTGATCCCAGCTTTTATTTCAACCCAGTAGGAACACTCGAACTGTTGTAAGAGCATAGCTACACGTGCTAGAAAGTGATATAATTTTTCGAAAAAAACAGACTCTTACAAAGTTTCGAATCACTTTTGACCAGCAAATTTTACAGTTGCATCGCTTTAGATATTTGTTGCTGATGTTGTGTATAGTAGAAATACCATGAAAAAAAGTTTTTTTTAACTAACTTTGCTTGAAAAAATTTTTCTAGTCGATCTGAGCAAGTTATGGCGGAATCACCCATACACATTTATATGTATATATANTGATGTTGTGTATAGTAGAAATACCATGAAAAAAAGTTTTTTTTAACTAACTTTGCTTGAAAAAATTTTTCTAGTCGATCTGAGCAAGTTATGGCGGAATCACCCATACACATTTATATGTATATATATATGTATTTGTTTTAAAAAAACTTTATGACTTAAAAAATTGTTATTTTTGGGTAATTTTGCTTCCCCTCCAAGAAATAGCGTTTTTCATTTTTTTGGGGTTGCGTTGTCGTAAAATAATTTGAGAATAGATTCTAGATGTGTATAATAATTTCCTAATTATGCTACAACTGTTTACAATTTCCAACAATGTGATGAGTCATGTAGAATTCCTTATGAGTGTGTTCTGTCATGCATGGCTTGAACCGAAAATCAGTGTGAGTACACACGAAACACTTTGCGCATGGGCTCCACACGCTACGCCTATGATCCATGATGCTAATACTTACAGAGTATGAGCATCATAGTGTACTCGCTCCGACCTATCTTATACTGTAAACATTTGAAATTCACAGTGTTACTCTATAAACCCGTGCATTTCAAGCAGTATTCAACTCATACAATCAAAGTCTAAATGGTGTTCATGCTATACTTGCTTGATTTTTTTTCAGTGCACCTTCTTTGCGACAACGCAATACGTGTCGTATATGCACCAAGTGTGATATATTGATTGTTTATGATAAGTTGTACACAAAATATTTGACGTGTCGTAGATTAACAGGACATAAATGACATACCTATCCCTGGGTAATTATTTTTTAATTATTTTTCCCGTATTCCCGGCACTATCATGCTTATTTAAGAAACCCCACTCAAATCGCGGCGCCACAGGAATCGGAATCTTTCCTAAAGCTTCATTTAACGTGAAAAATGAAACAACTGCAGTACACAATGTACTTATTTTTCTTGTAGGATTATGTTTCATGTACATACCCTGTCCTAAATATCAGTGATGAATCAACGCTGAAATCAGTCGTAAATTGCATCGTTAATTGCAAACTGCAATGCTAACATGAAAAATGCACTGTTTTGAAGTTAATTAATATTATTGTTTTCAACAAACGCTGATTCAATACTGATACACAGAATCAACGATGTAGTTAACGACTGATTTCAGCGCTGATATTTTTTGTGGGGTAAGCAAAATGATCAACACTTGAAACTTAATGTTACAAAAGTCAAAACATAAAAATCACAGGAGTCATTTGATAGCAACTAATAATGACTTATGCTATTTTATTACAAAGTTACATCTCAGCTTTAATAGACCGACAGTGAGTTCCATTAAAAATTCGTTTATTTGTTTTGACAACAACAGCATTTAACAGTTTCACTCTTCATAGGAATGTGTCTCAACTCCTGTCCAAATCTCATTTCCTCTACTTACATGGAATATTATTAAATCGTTCTGCACAAACTTTCAACAGAAACATGTCAACTAGTAGTTGTAATATAAAATTAGAGAAGTCTTTGGGGTTGCCTAAAATAGTAAATGCTATGAAAAGACAACTGTGGGGGTCAGTTAAGTGTAACATTTGGAGAAAATATTTGGTAACCAAAAATTCGATACTATTAAGTGATTTAAAAAAACCATGTCAGATTTAATAACAAGGTTTCATAACATTAATAATAGAAGTAATGAAATAATTGTGTTGATAGTGAGAAAGTTGAATATGTAATTGTGAAATAATACGTAAAGCAAAAAATTTACTATGAAACTTAATACTTCTTAGTTAGATTTTTAATAGTTAATCATTTATACATGACCAATTATGGATATTGTTTGTACGTACTAAAACAGGAAAATACCTTTCTAGATATAAGCAATATTAACAACTAAAATTACATAAACTTCAACAAATTTTACTAAACAGCAGTAAAAAAATTGAAATCAATATGCGAGACTGAGCTTTGTGGGTAATAGTAGCCATCATTGACCAAAAATTATCCTAAGAATCTATGTATAACAATTTCTTTTTAATAGTTTCAAATATCTTACCATGGTTCCTTGTGACAAATTAACTTAAATCGGCAAAAGATTAATGTGAATCGTTACCCTCAGCCAGTTACATATATTTTTTTAACAAAGACAAGAACGCCGTACAAAAAAATTAGGTGTAATCGATGCTAACCATAGACATATGAGAAATATAAACTACTCGTTCTTATGCACAGCGCTGATAACAGCGTTGGGTTAGGCGGATTCAATGGACGTATTCCAAATGACGCGACACTTGGATGTCACGCGACACATTAGTATAGGTTTTGAATAGGACTGCGTGACACTGTCGCGTCATTTGGAATGCTCTCATTGAGATATCGGAACTTTTTCCCTAGATCGTATAGCTACGTACTGCTGAGAAGACAATAGTATTACCAACAACGAGCGAAAATTCAAAATTGTAATATCAATAACACAAGTGCCCATGACCCAACGACCGCTCACTGGCCGCTCTATTAAATAATGAAATATTAATTATTAACACAAGCGCCTATCACCCGATGACCCGGGGTGCTTACTTGCCACTCTATTGAATAATAAAATATTAATTATAAACACAAGCGCCTATCATCCAATGACTCAGGGAGCTTACTGGTCACTTTATTAAACGATGTATATTATTAATTAATAGCATAAGCGCATATAACCCAATGACCTGCGGTGCTTACTTGCCTCTGTATTAAACAATGAAATGTTAAGCACTAATACAATCGCCTATCATCCGATGACGCGAGGCGCTTACTAATCGCATTATTGAACAATATATTATTACTTAATAGCTCAAGCGCCTATTACCCGATGACCCAGGGCGCTAACTGGCTGTTCTATTGAATAATAAAATGTTAAGAAAAAATACAAGCGCCTATCACCCGATGACCCGAGGGGCTTACTAATCGCATTAATAAACAATATATTATTAATTAATAGCACAAGTGCCTATCATCCGATAACCCAAGGCGCTTACTGGCCGCTCTCTTAAACAATAAAATGTCAATTAAACACTAGCAGCACCCTGGGTTATCAGGCGATCGGCGCTTGCATTATTATTGAACTTTTTGTTATTTAAGGACGATCTCCGGGTATAGTAGTTTTCGTAAGAATTTGCTGAAATTGGAACATGTGTGAAAAAAAAGTGTTATTTACGCGTGTGCAAAATTTTAACAGGTGTGTCCTTACTAAATTGCGAACTATTCAGTTTTAAAGATTGTCGATTTAACAGTGCAGTATATCTATAGCTATAGTCTTGGCGAAAAAAAACGCACACTTCCGAGCATAACTTAACGAATTTTCGCAGTATTTTCCCCAAAAAATTTTATGTAATAAACAAATTCCTAAGGAAAAAAATGAGTACAAGTCTTATAAGCCTTCCCATATTAATTATTAAGTAACAATAATTTTAATAACACCTCATCTGGCCTCCACCGAGAGAGAAGCAGACGCCCCATGCAACTTGACAACACTGCAACATCCATTTACTTACTGAGTACAGAACAGTCAGACGACGGTCACGAAAAAAAGCCCAACTCAAATTGGCCCAAGTAAACTGTCATAGTTCGATAAGCTTAAGCGTTCTTAATTGCTATTTTTTTCTTCATAAATCTACCGTTTTTAAAATTTCTTACTTTATTCGACATTTCTGTTGTCGTATACATAACCTGATTGGAAATGTAAATACATGCGGAAAGTCTCTATACTCGCCTCGTGGCACCTAACCCTAACGGCCAGAGTACATATGTATATAAAGTAAGATTGGTGGGGATATGTTGCAGTGTCGCCAAGTTTCTTATGTGTCTGCGCATCGTCTGCTCATGCAACGAATAAGAGATTCTCAACTTACATCGATTTCGATTGAGAACCACTGGTCCCGGAGATCGTCCTTAATTGAGCGGCCAGTAAGCGCCCCGGATCATCGAGTGATAGGCGCATGTGCTATTAATAAATATTGTATTATTTAATAGACAGGCCAGTAAGTGCCCCGAGTCATTAGGTGATAGGCCCTTGTGTTATAAATATTACAATTTTTAATTTTCGCGCGTCTTTGGCAATGCCCCTTCACTGCTGTCTGCTCGGCCAAACATTCTTCCTAGATTGTATAGCTATATATACGATCTAGGGAAAAATTTCCGATATTGAATCCGACTAACCCAACGCTGGCTGATACCATGATGTAAGAATATAAGGTGTGGCGTTGCGCATCCATTTTGATTAACCAATCAGGAACGCTTCCATCGGGCCGCCATGTCTGTCTGCGAATTTCAAAAGCTTTTAAAATATCAAGCATATTAACATCAAGAAACACGTGAAACAATATATGTTTTTTATTTAAATATTTTCATTCCAGTTGTTTCAGTGACTAAACGTACAATTCGTGAATATTTACACAGAAAAACTGTCTGAATAGGTAATCATTCATCAATTCACGTACATGTAAATTCATACGTATGTCTATTTCTATATATATGTCTCACTTCGAAGTGGATACGGGGAATTGATTTTAGTTTCAACTTTGGCCACTTCGTTTCATTGTACAGGCTCTTCGGCGCTAGGTCCGTACCATATAATTATTTGTCTGTACTTCTGCCTATGTTATAACATAGGCCTGTAAAGCAAAAAAAAATTGTATGGTACGGCCCCTGTAGTAGTCACATCTACCTCAAATATAGCGTCGTGATGGAAGGCGCAGAACGGCACGAAAATGAGACCTTATTATATATAGGAACGCCACACCTTATTGGCCAGGTGCAAGTGAAGGGAGGGGATAGATGAGTCGACGCCAGCATGCGTAGTGGCAAAAATAAGAATCCTGGGGTACCAAATTACTGTCATTTTTGCTTAATGAAGAAAAGAATAACAGCATTTCGTCAAATTTACAGATGTTATCATCACGGATGCATAAATAGTATCAACATTATAAAATTGCAGTTGCACAAATGTAAAAAAATGAACTATGTGGTGCCAAGAATGGTTGTAAAATGTTTGAATGTAACAATACATTAAATAAAGTCTCGTCAGTTTTCGATCCAGAGCACACACTCAGAAGCAGACGGCTAAAAGAATAGTATATTGCATACAAGTTTGCGAAGGCTTCAATTTACGAACCGAGAGGTTTACGGCACGAGCCGAAGGCGAGGGCCGTAACGAGGTTCGTAAAGAAGCCTGTTTGAACGAGTTTCGTGTACTATTTTTCCGCCTGAGAACCCAAAATCAAGCGGCGAAGGTGCTATTTTGAGGTTAGAAGGCGGAAAAGATATTTACGTGAAATAAGACATGATCATTGTGATTTCTATTGTTAAAACGTGTGATTTCTGTTATTAAAATGTTTATGAAATATGGGTGTAAGAAAGTGCTGTGTTTTTCAGTGTAACAGAAGCGCAAAGACAGATGTAGTAAAATTACATAAATTTCGGTGATTATCTAACTGTAAATAAAGGTAATTTTTATGTGCATTGTAACTTAGACGATTTTCAAGATAATCTGAATAAAATGTACATGCAGGTTAACTTTGTACGGAGCTGAAGTTACCGAGGCCTATCTTATTACGACGGCACTTATCAAATTGCTAACTCCATCACTTTGAAATTCTGTAACATCGCACACATGACTACTTTTAACCAACTGTTTACCTCTTTTTAAAGCTTCAAATCGAGCGTGTGATATTCCTAAAGCCTGTTTTTATGATAGCATCCATCATCAGATAAACAAATATACTAATTTTTTCCTAATTAATTGATTATTACTAAAAGTGTGCATCGGTGTATGCTGTTGACGTATAATGTGGGTACCCGTGGTTGCATAATTTTGACACCAAAAGTGGCGATGCATGACATGCACATGGCCAATATTCTTATATCATGGCCAATACTGATGAAGGACCAGACGTCCAGACCCATAGACATGAAACAAGTATAGACTGCTTGTTCTTATGTAGGGCACTGTGGCACTGAAACACCAGTAGAAAGAGACACATCAATGAGAGTGGGTATATGTCTCTCTTGCACATTGCCAACGGTCAACGGTGGCAAAGTTACATTAGCCAGATTTAGTAAACTGACACCCCACCGTGAGCAATGTGCAAGAGAGACAGATCCCCACGCTCAATGCCGTCTCTTTTTACTTATGTTTTAGTACCGTACATAAGCCAAGGAGGAGCAGTCTATACTATACTTCTTATTGTCTTGTATGATGTTGTATGTCTATGACTAGCCCAACAAGAATGTTACCAAAAGGAGAAGATTAGAACAAGAGCCTGGCCAGGCCATAGAGATAATATAATAGAGGAAGCGAACAAGCCGTGACCGCATACAGATGGTAGACAGAGAAAGAAGATTGTGTTGGTCTTGCATCTCTCTCTGCTCTTATCCTGATTGGCTATTTTAAATGCCCTCTTCTGCCTCTAATTCAATATATATAACTACTGCTCTACTATAACTACTACTATATACACTGTCAAGCAGCAGCCAACCAATACAGATAGCAGACAGAGATGCAAGACCAAAACAGTCGTCTTCCTCTATCTACTGACCGTACGCTTCCACTTACAGAAGAATATACAGTTCGCTTCCTCTATTATATAATCTTTATGGGCCAGGCACGCTTTACATCGATGACAGCATAGACATTTAAAAAATAGACTGCTTGTTCTTAAGTACTGTGCTGAACTGCTGAAGCACAATTAAGAAGAGACACGATATCGAACGCGTGTATCTGTCTCTCTCGCACATTGCCAACGGTAGAGTGGTTGCATCAACTGGCCCATAATGTAAGTAGATTAAGTGTGTGATGGCGCAACTTTCCGATGAGTCCGAGTTTCTCCAATAGCGTGCCTCATCCGCACATCGTCCATATTAGGATTTGAGCCAATCCGAATGTAGCGGTATTTCAAAAATATGTGATTGTCAGTAGTTTCAAAAAGGTTTTAGCTTACATTACAATGTTAAAAGGGATGCTTAAAAATTGTTGCTGAAAACGAGAAAACATCATTTAACAGTTATTTCGAATAGTCATGAGACAATAAAAATTAATTATTGCCGGATTTAAGAAAGAAATTATTTGAAGTAAGTCATGTACGTATTTATGGTGAAAAAATCATCAATAAGTATATCATAATTTTTTTGAATTAATGAATGAATTTTGGTTGATTCTGATTGTTCTCATCCGGTTATAAAAATATAAACAGCCCGCAATGCAATAACAAAAATAAATAAAAATTCAAAAATTTACAACAAATTAACTCAACTATTAGATAATATTTTAAAGGGATCATTACTTATGTACAACAATAGTGAAAAAATCACAGAACTTCGAATGTTTTAAAGGCTGCTGTATTCAGTGAGGCTTCAAGCTGTACTTTTCTTTTAGTTGCACATCAGAGATTACTACATGAGATTAAATTATTTCTTGGATAAAAAAAATCCTGTAAAAAAATACAGTGTCTCCTGTACGTATATGGAGTCTAATTTTATTGTTGGAACAGCTGATTTGGATAAAACAAATATATTTGTATCACAAGGGACGATTGAGTGTTCTGGCTTTTTCTCGTTGTCTTGAGTAAAATGTACAGAGCATACCTTACCTTCGATAGAAAAATGTTTGACTGTTTATTCGTTCGTGTAAAAATATTTATATATAAGTGAACATGATGGCATATTGTAAATATTAATTTATTACACCACTTGAGTTCTCAAGTGTCATGAGTGCATGTATATCTTAAAGTAAACAAAGCTGACTACACAATTTCAACATAGCGGAATTACGGATGCGCGCGAGAACAGTCTCAATTTGAATCGGTTGGGTCACACACCTTATTTACTTACATCATGATGGGCCAGCTGATTGACAGATAAACATGTTCGATATTGTGCTTCAGGGCCGTACCCGTACATAGGCACAGGGGGTAGGTAGTGAGCTTCAAGGGAAGCTCACTAGGGGTTGGTATATGTGATCCCGCACATTTTCAGGGGAGCGGGGTAGGTGCATCAGCTAAACCGTTTTAGCGTGCGGTTACATCTGGCGGAAATTACCAGTGGAACGTCACAGCAAAAGGATGAAAGAGTACTTTCACACTGCTTCTTTAATGAGTTATGTGTTCCGCTTCCGCTGGGAAAAATGTCCATCTTGCACATAGAGTGGAACAGAAAGGTCACGTCATGATAGCAGCCATTGAGGGCACAGCTTTTCAGCTGCAAACATTCAATTTTATGCGTTTGATATAAATTATTAATGCTTACCTATGATACATTACGATAAGCACATTACTATTATAGTTTTAATCATCCTGAGATATCTGAAAAATTTAATAACAATTAAAGAATAAGGTTTTTTTTTATTATTCAGTCAGCTCCTGCTGTTACGCTTTGCTTTGTTACAATCCATGGGCACGATGGAGATTCTTCCCAGTGGGAGCGGAATGCGTAATGCGTAACTCGTTGAAATGGTAGTGAAAGCATGGTACAATAAAAAACGAGGTAGGCCCATGCGCATGTTTACATGACCACACCAATCAGAGAAGGAGCCTGTATGGCGTCATAATCAGCGTTTAATTCAAATTGTATAATGAGCAGCAAGTAACAAAGTGTTTTCGTTATTTATTGAGAAGGTGAGTGTTGATGGTCACTGTTACTTAAAAATATGAATCATAACGTTGGACTTGTAAAAACGACTGACATGTTCAAAAATTTTTATTAACTTTAAGTTATGAGTTACGAAAGAGAATATATTAACTCTTCAAAAAAATTTTTAAACTTATTGAAAACACTAAGTTATCTGATTTTTTGTTGAGGTAAAAAAAATTTTGCTTACATTTTTTAAGTTTTATTATTACACATGAACTAATTATTACAAGTTAACTGCATTTTTTTACTTTGTATTAGACATTTACTTTATGTTAGTACAGTCTAGTCAGTTTATGTACACGTTTTTATCATCATACTCCATTTAACTCGCTGTTATTAACATGATTTAATATTTAGCATAAAATACATATTTAAATATGGTACCCAATTATGACGTCATACAGGCTCCTGCGCAAAGTCAGACAAAAATTCTCTAGCTAGTGAGCTCACCTTGTTTTATTGTACCATGGGTGGAAGAACTTTTTTGGATGCGTTCCGTAAGCACTGGCCGTTTAATCTAAGTATTTAGATAACATGTAGATAACTTACTAATGTAAGAGAGATAACAAGTCATACTTTTTCCCTTGCACTTAAATGTCATCTAGGATACCGAGATACTTGAAGATTAACTGCTTACGGAATGCATCCTTTTCTCTTCCCGCGGCCTAAAATGGTTCAGCTGATGCACCCCCCAACCCTCTTAAAATATGTGCGAGCGACAGATACCCACCCTCGGTGCTGTGTCTCTTTCTACCCGTGCTTCAGAGCCGTACATAAGAACGAACAGTCTATTTCTTACATGCCTATGGGCATGGGCAATCTTGAATCCGCAGTTCTTTCTGGCAGACGTGTGAACGCGGCGTAATGCAAGAGGACCTCGACTTAAGAAATTTTCCTACCGTGGCTTTAGTTGTAACCTAAATTAAACCTTTTAAGTGTAAGTAGTTTCACCGGTAACGCAGAAATTCTCCACTTAAATGGCTCAAAATAAATTAAATGATTTGGCAAGTCGCTTTAGTAAAGGATCTGCTGGAATGAATGTCGGTGTTAAATTAATTGCCGTAGTTGGAGCAGCAGCTTATGGAGTTTCACAGTCCATGTATACTGGTCTGTATAAGATATTTGTCTATTATAACATTTTTTTTCTCTGTCCATAGCTGTTTGCGTAATCGTGTATACAATAACTTATATTTATTCAGGCAATTGAATGCCGTACCTAATATTAATTTACAACTATTTTTTTGCGTAATCTGTTAAGTACTCCATGTGTTTCATGTGTTATTCATCAAAAAACTTACAATATACCAATGTAAAACTGAACCCTATCTTAGTTATGATAAATTTAGTGGATTACATAGAAACAGCTAGTACGACATTTATCCTGTGCAACATAATAACAAGACCTTTTACGAGTGCCATGTGTTGGTCTTTTTTAGTTTCCAAGATTTGGCCTCAAGAAAAGAAAATATATTTTTGATTACATGAGTATGATTCGACATTTTTTCTGCTTTCACATCTGTATTACTCAGAATGTTGAATAAAAAATCTTTCTATGTGTATTGAACTTATCACCTGACTTCAGCCAAGGCCTATTCTTCATACTCTTAGAAATTAATTTGAGGATATACGCTTTTAACATGTTGAAAGCATATTTAAAAAATAAAAGAAATCAATTTCTTTCGTTGTAGTTAGAATAAAAAATCACATAATAGTGGTAAAGGAAATTGAAAAAGCTCACCTTCTCACAAGTTTTTTAATAAGACTCAGATATTTTACGAAACTAAGAGGGTACCTTGGCGTGTTTAAAGTTTCTCACGTTAAATACCAACGAAAATCCAAAAAAAAATTTTTTTTGTTCTTGTTGTCAATAACTCAATCAAACGAAGGTAACATACTTATTATGACGTGAAATAATGTAAATAGCGACTTATAACAAATTTACACGCCTATGACATCAAGAAAGGTAAAAAACTTAAAAAAATAAAATTAAGCATTAAAACTTTCAGTAATATTCAGCAACTAAATTATAGTTAAGGGGGGGGGGCAGTGTCACAAAATCTAAAAATTTAGGAACGCCTTGAAAAAAATTGTATGAGCTAACAATTAAGTATGATATGTAAAATATCATATTAAAATTTCAGACACCCTAAATTCACCGTTTTCGAGATATAAATTATCTATTTAACACGTACTCTTATCGAAAAAAGAGTATTTTACACATTATCTACTGTCACTGTAATCAAGCCCGGGCGTCTAGTGGTCCACTGGCTTATAACTCAGGGCCACGTATGTCCCTGATACGTGGAGTAGCTAGATATTAAATGACAAATATAGTACCAGGACCACGGAACTATTATATTTGACGACACACACATATATATACATGCGTTAATAATGAAAGGTTTTCGATACCGTAAATAAAAGAGACGTATATTAAATCAAAAATATGAATTGAACAATAACGAAATGTGCGCGCATGTGTGCGTGTCAGTAAATAAACAATCAAGAATGTAATAAACCTCGGTGGTGAAACCGCTATCTCCCGTACATTTATAACTACAATCGGCATACAGCTTCCTCGTCCTAAGCGGCGGGCAGACCTTACGAGCTAATACATGAACTTTAAACAATTAATGAGTAGCCGACTTACTTTGTTTCCCGACGGCTAGGAGTGAGAAGTCAGGGTCGAAATGCGCATCTTGGAGACGTGAGAACTCGTGGGCGTCTCCAACAGCCAAGTATTATTAGTAGCGCTATACCGGCAACGCCTACACTCGCTGTTCCGGCTCCTGGTGACACATCAATCCAGGCCCCTAACCTCTTTGCACCCTTCTTTGCTTCCTAACTCTCCTCGCACGTCCCTAGTTGGTCTCTTGACCTCTCCCCTTTATTTTGACCCATCGCGTGCCCATTACTACAAAAATTCTTACGAATCTATATTAGCAGCGCCGTTACAGGATTTAGAAAAAATTATTGAGACCGTCTTGGGCCATCTAATGGCTCATTAGTAATGGAAATGGTAGAAATTAGGCGATTTCTTATGATTAATTGTCGTTTTGCGAGATAAGGTTTCCCAAGTCCGAAAAAAAATTTGGGTAGTTTATTTACGTACCTTAAATGTATTATATCATGTTTTGCAGCACGTAATGAATTTATTTCTCAGAAAAACGTCTTATTAATAACTTTTTCTCGACTTCAGGAGTACATAACCATTTGAGGTTATGTTTTCTTTAGTCTAAAATGACTGAATGGACGTTGTACGATCATAGTTGTAAAGAAGAACATATTTAGTGACTTAAGGGGGTAGTGTCACAATGTCAATGCGTGTTCTGAAATACATTATGTGTTTTGACACAAACAAGTAAAAATAAATGTGGCAACGCCGCATGAGGCGAAAATACGCTGTATATCCATACAAATAAGTTTAGATACGTTTGGAGGTTATATTGTACCAGAGATTAGTAGAGAGATTGCTGATTGCAATGCTACGGCGCGAGTTCACTTTTGGCCACTGTTTCGAGCGCCCCGTCGCGGCCAAGCTGTCGAACCAGGCACACATTTTTTTTTTTTTTATTTGAGAAGCGTGGAGGGGGTACACCGAGTGTGTGCCTACAGATTCGCGTGGAAATGGGCATACTTTGGAGACGCGTGGAAGGGGTATACTGAAACTGTATATGTGCCATGTGCCTACGGAGAGAGGAGTGGTGCATGGAAATGCCAACTACAGCTATATAACTATATACCCGCGTATATCATAGCGAAAGAAAGCGACGAGTCTTTCTCGCTGCATGTATACTAACTTCTTAAATAAGGTCTTAGAAATTAAGGGGAAATAGAGAAGAAAAAAAGATTTCACATCTAATATTGGTAAAATAAAAAAACCTATTTTAATTTACAATTCTCTATAACATATGAAAGTTTAAGAGAGGCTAGCCATATCATTTTTCGAAAATTAAATCATACAAATAAATGTTTACGCAATTGGAAGCTCAGACTTTCAAGGCATTTATTTTTTAGTTCTTCTTATACTTTGGATTTTCGTTTAGTACTGCGTATCAAAGTACGTTGAAAAAATATTTAGCTTGAAATATTTTTTGAGGTTGATAGTATGGCTATAAGCACCTTAAATATAAATTATTATTTTTACTTATCATAATCGCTATGAACTGTAGGCCAAGCTCCGGAGGGTATCAATGAACATATGTGACTTTAGGTTCT